ATATTTTTCTGCTTGTTTCGGATGATAATGTCGTTCATGCATATAGGGCCTATGATAATATTAATAATTAAAATTGTTATCTTATGGTACCACAATGAAATAATTCTCAAGCGTTTTCTTTGTCCAACTATGCGTATCTCTAAGGTCTTGCTTAATTTGCGAACGAAACTAATTATTTAATTGTAAGCATATTAGATAAATCACACAACAATCTTTGCTGCACTTTGCACTCTCACTAACTTCGTTGTAGGCTGCTAAAAACTATATGGATTACATCTAGTTATATATGTAAGTAAATAGTATATAATAATATATATGTAGGTGTGTGTGTGTGTGTAGTATGATTAACATTCTGGCGTTTGTTTGTTTTTTTTCTTCAATTTAGCACATTTGACTACTAAGCTTAGTAATTAACCCGTTGCTGCCGTTGATTTAGGTTCTAATATCTGACCAACTATGCCACAATATGACTATTCTTGTTCAGATCAGTAAGTAACTCGGCATTCAAATCCTCCCCCTCCAGCAAATCGCCATTGAGTGAATGCGGAATGCTCGTGGACAGCACCATGCCACGCCCACCGCCGACACTGCCGCCACCTGCGCTGCTTGTGCCTATGGATATGTCATCCGGAGGCGAATTGCGACGGCGTTCGCGCTCGCGCACTATATGCGGCGCCTCGTTAAACTCGTCTAGCTCATCCATGCCTGACAAGGGGAAAACCATATGAGTCGATTATAGGGATCGATCTAATCTATGCACTTACCCGCATATTTGGTGCCCGCGAGCAATAGATATTGCCCGGCACGATTGGGCCACAGCAGTCCGGTCATTACACAGTAGGCCATGCAGTCGGCCGAGTTGGTGATGCCCTGCAGCAGCTTGTACCGCCACATGGGGCTCACCTGCAACGCCACAATGGCCACAATGGGCAGGTAGATGAACCACACCAAGCTGGAGGCGCCCAAATGCAATAGAAAGTCCAGCTTCTTGCTGGAGTGCTCATACTTCATTGTATTACGCAACTCATAGAGAAACCACATCATGAACGAAGTTCTGTTGAGTA